TGCGTACGTACGGTTTTATAAATCTGAATTTTTTTTGGCATACGCCATTTCCACCTTTTAGCCGTATGTTCACTTTTAGTATGGTTTCCACGCAATCCTTTATAAATGAGACCCCATGAGCTTTAAACTTCATATTAACCACCACAGCTGTGAAGTACAGATCTATAAAGATAACTTGTTACGTAATGCTCCTGTTGAATGTTTGAACTCGTTCTTTGGCAGTCATCCTGGTCACAGTTTATAGTTGTTATCTAAATAAATGCAGGATAAAAAACCTGCAACCTCCATTTAGGGTTAGAAGTTCAGTTGTCTACAACAGACATGGAAAAGAGACCCAGATCCAGGACAGCCTGGAGAGACTTTAGTTTTTTGCCTAATAGTAATTTTTGGGACATATTTTTTAGCTCAGTTAGAGGTGAAGACGAGGACAAAGATTCAAACTTGTCTGGAAGGACAGATCAGGGTCTCTGGATACCAAAACCAGACTCCTACATCCACTTGTCTGGTCAGTCCTCTTTGCAGCAGAAACCTGGACTCTGAACTAGGGTTGGGCAATATTGAATCACAATTAAATGTGGCATTTAGCCAGTAAAGATTAACATAACCAGTAAAGATTAACATAATGATTACAGTTTTTTACTATTACTAAAACARATTTCACAAAACCTTCCTCCGTTTTCCCAAAGCTCTAAACACAAAACACTTTTTTCTCAAGGRCCTGTRACACTGTAATGTTTTAGACAACTTGTGCCAACTTGTGTAAAGTTTGTCCTACACTAAAGCTGTCTAAGCTGAAGATGAAATAAAAAAAAAATCAACTGGAATCCTCTTTTGGACCAATACATTGTGGTAGTTTGGAACCTTCAGCAAACTGCAGTCTGAACACATCTTTTGCAACAAGCATCTTTAGTGTTGAGTCATTGTGTTTAATGAATGAAAGCAGGCGTGCTCGTTGAGTTTAAGTATTGCTGACTGTTCTAGCATTTAGCATCACGAGTTGTAATGTGAGAGTTTGAGCAGAGTTTTTACAACTTGTGTTTTAACAAGACAAAATGGGTTTAAAGTTTTGAGAAAAGGAGGATGGAGTTTTGTGAATTGTGCCTTCATGAGAGCTGCATTGATGGCTTTGGCAAATGAGGGCTTTGTGTTTTAGCAATAGTGGAAAAAAACTGTAATGGATGACAAGTGCACTTGCATGTTTTTGACTCTGTTCTAAAACTGACTCTTTGTTTTAACAGGTTAAAACAGGAAGCAGTGGACTGAAACTTGCCTTTACTACAATGTGGAATGGCAGCATATATTAGTAACACAATGTGCCACAGGCTGACAGATAAACACTAATTGTAGTAGGTTTTTTACTGACAGTTGTTTGCACACAATAGAGTTTTGCCCAACCCTAGTCTGAGAGAGTGAGGATTTTGACAAGGAGGAAGATGATAGATTATTTGTTTTAGAAGGGGAAAGAGAAGAAGAATGCCCATCCAGCGGGTGCCAGTATAAACCGCTCAGATTCAACCATCGGTACTTAGTGCTAACGTTAACGCTAACAAAAATCACAGAGTCGCCTTTCCTAGTGTTGGAAATGTTCCAGTTTCTGTTTCAGCTCTTTTTTTATGTTGGTCTTATTTTCTGTTTCTGTTCCCTGTGGTGAAGGAGTTCCTGCTGCTGGATGAGATCACCAAAAACTGCTCAGCTCTGCCGCAGGAAGACAAGAAGGATCCTGGTGTGGAGATCCAGGATATCACCTGCTACTGGGACAAGGTCTGCAGAAAACCAGGAACATTGTAAAACTGTTCTTTGAGGCATCAGACGACATAAATGAACTCAGTCTTTTTTTTGTTTTTTGGTGAAATTAGCATTAGCATACATTTCTGGAAATTTAAAGCAGACTGTTTTTATTTTTCAGAGTCTAGATGCTCCAACTCTGAAGGACATCTCCTTCTCTCTGAACTCCAGTCAGCTGTTGGCTGTAATCGGCCCAGTAGGAGCGGGAAAGGTCCGACCCGTTTGATCCATCAGGTCCATCAGGCAGATTGTTCCTGACCCCCTCAATCGGTTCTGACCCAAACTCCTCTTTGTGTTTTCCACTCAGTCATCCTTACTGAGCTCCATCCTGGGAGAACTGCCTTCAGAGAAAGGCGTGGTGAAGGTCAGTGGTCAGCTGACCTACGCGGCCCAGCAGCCCTGGGTGTTTCCCGGAACTGTTCGGAGCAACATCTTATTTGGGAAAGAGCTGGACCCCCAGAAGTACGAGAAAGCCCTCAAAGCCTGCGCCCTGAAAAGGGTGAGATTGATTTTAATCTGGACTTCAGGTTAATTTTACAGTTTAAATAATCACAGGTTAGATTAGAGGAAAAGCATAACTCAACTGAAAAATGTAGATTTTACTTATTTTATGACACCAGACAGGATTAAACTGAAAAAAATCCAAAGAAACTGAGTGTGTTAAATTTGAACCTAACCCTAAAATATGAATATTTGTAAACCCAGCTTACAGAAAAGACGTTTATCTCTGTTAAATTGTCATTTTCCCTCCAATTCACAGAGAACAAGTTAATTCAACATGAGGATGGTTTAACAATAACGAGGTGTTTTGTCTGCTTGGATTTGATAAACTTTTATTTAAAACTATACTGGATTTAAAATTGAATTGGTGCTATATACAGTAAATAAACTGAATTGAAATTGTGATAACAATTATTCATAAATGATCAAATAGGAAAAATAAATAGTATTAAATACATGTAATACTGTAAATAATCCCTTTGAATGAAACAGTCATTTTAGGGGAGAAGTCTGCCAAACTGGCAAATAATAAATTCAGTTAATTTGTACTTCCTAAAGGACATTCTGTGCTGTAATGTTTTCAAATATATCAGTATCAATGTATGTCAGTACTTCAGTTCAGAACACTGAAATTATATTGTTAAAACCCATTTCTTCCTTCAGTATGTTGTGATGATGTTGGTTAAAGTGTAAATTTATTTACAGCTGGCTGGACGATGTATTTGTGATTAAAGCCAAATCTGGAGCTTAAGACTAGGGCTGCAACAACGAATCGATAAAATCAATAAAAATCGATTATTAAAAACGTTGCCAACGAATTTCATTATTGGTTCGTTGTGTCACGTGATTTATGCGTCCCTCGCCATGTCGGGAGTCGTTTACGTCACCCGCAGAGCGTTGTCAAGGCTGGCTGACCTAAATAAAGTTTAGGAAGAAAAAAATCTCTACCTGTAAAGATCCTCCCTCTCTGAGACCCTCGAGTGAAAAGTGGAGACTTCGAACTTTAAACCAGTTTTTAAATTGTGTTGTTAGGCCAAGTAGATCCGAAGTTATGATAAAAAGTTTATGCCACGTTTAATTGTTTTAAATCACGATCTGATTTGATGCGAGCCGCGTCGCGAGGAAGAAGCACGTCCCGTGGGGGAAAACAAACAAACAAACAAACAAACAAACAAAAAACCCTCAGTCCACCATTTGTTTCCTCCTTCTCTCAGGCTAAATGTATAAAAACCCTCCAGTCTTTTTTTCTGACCGAGGCTCAAAGTTATTTGTTAAGCAGCAAAAAGGTTCAGCAAAATAATCAGAAATGTGACAAGTGCTAACTGTAAATACATTATAATTATAATAAATTAATAATAGTTTTACATCTAAAAGTCATATTTTATTCTTTTTATCTGTTTTCCTCATTCAGTAACATATTCCATTTCTGTTTTGTTATGTTTTATAGCTATAAGTAAATCCACCTTTTTTTTCAGTCGGCAAAATCAACTGTGAACATATTTATGATGTGCTTCTTTTTTAAAATTTAGCATATTATTGATTCAATACAAAACTCTGGTTTAAGAAAATGGCTGCTTATCAATGAATCTTTAGTCAGTCTATAAGATAAATCAACTTCAGACAACTTCACATTAATCGATACCTTGCATCCCTAATTTATACAGGAGTTAAATTAATTTATACAGTATCTACTTATATTTATGTAATTAAGTGTTTTAATGATTTGGCCGATTAATTGATTAATCGAAAAAAATAATTGACAGATTAATCGATTATTAAAATAATAGTTAGTTGCAGTTCAGTAGATGTTTCCAACCAAATAACTGGACTTGTAAGAGCTGCTGAACCAGAGAGCACTGATTAATCACTGAACGTTTAACTTGTTTCATTAAGGGAAATATGTGATGCTTGGTTATAATACAGCAGAATCCTCCAACCATCGCCTGTATTTATAATTTTTTTCGGTCTTAAATTTCATTCAAGGTGGCATTAAAAAGGTCTCAAAAAGTCTAAAATTAGCTTGCTTAGACATGCTAAAACCTGCAGATACCCTGTTACAACATGGAGTAAAATGAAGGCCACAGCAGGTCAGATGTTTTAAAGATAGGTGATCAAAAAACTGCAATCAGTGCACCCTTAGATTTTAGACTTTTCCTGTACCAGGTTATGTCAGAGCTGAATATCATTGTCCTGAAATATTTCATTTTTAGTATCTTCTCTCTGCATCCTCGGCATAAAAACAAATTTATATCTACTTTAAATTCATATCCAAATGGTTCATTTTTAGAAGCTTCGGGGTTGAGAGTTTGGTAAAGTCAATAATTGAACTAAGATGAGTCTAGTCGGATGTGCCTCGTGTTTCAGACTGGACTCAGYTGTTGATCTATACTGACCTGACTGGAGGAGAGGTCGCTGATTTATGAGTTACTCAGGAGTCCAGTCATTGTTGTGAGAGATTAATGACAAACCAAATGCTTTCTGTCCTTCAGAGTTTTAGAAACGACATGCATGAAGTCATGAGTACCAAAGAGAAGTTGGTTTGAGACTCTGCTYGAAGCTGCTCTGAGACAGTTTATTAAATTAAAGCAAACATTTCTTAGACTCTAACTTGTTTTCACAGCTCAGGAGGATGAAGTTATTTTTGAAAACTGGATGGACCCCGGTGGAACCTTTTTACATRTCTTAAGGGCTCAACACACGGGAGGCGACGTCGCTCGCTCTGCATTCATTTCTTATGGAGCCTGTGCGGTGAGGCAACAATCGCTTGCCCTCCAGCTAAGCGACCGGCGAAAATAGTGCATGTGAAATTTCACACTCGTACACGTACACGTGCACACGCGAGCTTGCGACGCGACATATGAAAGTTGAAAAATGTTCAACTTTTGTCGCTGTCGCTTAGCGTACAACCAATCAGCGAGGGTTTCATTGGCTGACCAATTTATTTATTGTTATTTTACCAGGCAAATCCCATTGAGATCTCAGATCTCTTTTTCAAGGGCGGCCTGGGC